TGTATCAAACTTATCACGTGAAATATTTAGGGTCCGTTTGCTTTGAATCAAGCTAAGGCAGATTTGCCTGGCTCTCCATACATTTCCAGGCATTGGATGGTGTAAGCCTGCAGGGATGGAGATTGTTGCTTGACAGGGCTTAAAGCAAACAAGCCCATAATATTTAATTTTGCTAGTTTTCATCAAGCACAGTGGAATACTAGAACCTTATACGACATGACTAACTGACGACGAACCTTATTTATTATACATCTTTGTGATGGCCAATCGAGACCCTTGGACCTTGGTTATAAAGTCCACCCCATTGCCGTGCTCGCATCCATACACGTTTTGCGGAGGACGGCTTCCAATTCCAAGTCGTCGCCCGGCCGGCCTCCTTTTTCTTTTCTGCACTGCAGGTCCACTGCGTAAAACTAGCGTACTAGTATATCTCAAGAGCAAACTGGAAAATTTGTGTAATCCAAAGTGCTTGTAACATATTCATGCGCCCAGCTATTATCAAAAAATGCTCTGGAATTCTCGATCAGGCGTTCAGTGTGCTTATTATATGCAGTAACATTGTACTGTTACTTTTGAGTATTCGTGTTAATTTTCATGAGACGAGTTCTGAAACAAATTCTAGAAATTATTCTCAAACATCTAGACATCAATTTAATTGGCTATAAATACTAGTTTACTGACATGTGCACCCGTAAACACTAGATTGTTATGAGACGTAATCTATACATTTATATCTATATCTATATCTATATTTATATCTATACCTAATAATAAAGAGGCAAAATTTCCACTTTTTTTACCTATTTTTTTTGTATGGCCTCCTCTAACTAGCTCCATAAATATGGAAATTGTTTCCTCCGCCTCTCTACATCTCTCCTGTTATATATATATATATATATATATATATATATATATATATATATATATATATATATATATATATGTGTGTGTGTGTGTATGTATATAATAACATATGTAGGACTTCTTTAGGTAACCTGGATAGATAGAAATCCTAATCAAATAGATTCCAGAAAAAAAGATTTTTCCTAATCCAAAGCTATTATCTTTTTTTCTTGTTTTTTTTGTGTGTTTCTTATCCTATAAATATCTATATATCTATATCTATTATCTATTACCTATAATATATACAGCTGATCTCCATCTCCATATAAAATCACGACTAGATAACAGATTTCTCGGATATCTCGCGATGGTCTGGCGATATCAATTCCAGCGCAGCGCCGCGATGGTCTGGCGGCGACCAATTCCAGCGCAGCGCCTAACTATAGTTAAGCTTTTTCATTTAAAAAACGAAAATGCATGATTTTCTAAGATATATTAATTTAAATATTTTTTAAGAGACCCCAAAGATGCTCCTCACGCGGCTGAAGGCTGCTGAATTTTTTTGCAGGCACACAGAGAATTACGATCTTTTATAAGGGCACACAGGGAAAAGTCTCATAAAAGAGACCCCAAGCCCTCACGCGCAAGGGGATGGGGCTGCGTGGAAGGACAGAAGCGTACCCTGGGTACTGGCTTCGGCCAGCCTAAACGCGTGCACGTTAGCCAGTACACGGAGGCCGGGGAGCTCCAGGCTAAGAAGATGATCTCCTCAAGGGCATAGGAGGGACACGACACCGCCAGGGGAGCCCTATCGCACGCAAGGAAAGCTTCTGACCTAAAGATGGAGAGGAGTTGGCGGCAACCTTTGTATGGCGCCGATCTATCAAGGAGAGAGGTCGAGCGGGCAACTCGCAGGATGTGCTCGCGCCACCCATTCCAGGAACGGAAGGAGGCAGACTAAGAAGGCATCCACCGCTACAGGACGGCGTCAGGAACGAAAGGAGGCGGACTAGGAAGGCAACCGCCGCTACATGACGGCGCCAGGAACGGAAGGAGGCGGACTAGGAAGGTAGCCGCCGCTACGGTGCGGCACAGCGGTGCCAGTAGGAGATCTACGCATGCAAAATATGCGCACACGGTGGAGATGGTGATCAAGACGGCTGTGCCGAGAAGCAAGGAGCAGCAGCCCCTCAGCATCATGACGCAATGAAACAGAGGACGTAACATCATCCAAGCTGAGGTAGAAACATACCGTCATGAACTATCGAGAAGACCCGACGTCTCTGCATCCACGACACGGCAGCTGCGTTGACGACTTCATCGTGGCTAGGCTTCGCCAGCACATCCCGGTCGCGACGCCTACATCCATGACATGGCCGCGCGCGCCGATGACTAATAAGCGCGTAGAGATGTTAGGGCGGGAGCGACACGTACGCATCCCTGGCTCCACCTTTAGCAGCGATGCTGCCACGGACGTTCATATCTGGTCTACGCACGATGGGGTCCTGTTGCTGTGCCGAGGGACCATATGCTCATTTGGACAAGAGCCGAGAAGCAAGGTGGACGACGCGTGCCGTGGTCTCTGGCCGACCACGCTCATCGATAGCGGTGTTCATTCGCTGCATCATCTAGAGCCGGCCAAACTTATTGGCATCAGATGACAAGACTGCGTTAGACCTGGTGACGTCGAGACGACTACTACGGATGCCATCAGCAACCTACACCAACGACGTCACCCCACTGAGAAGACGAGCCCCGACACCATCCACAATGACTCCACGCCTACATCAACAAAATCAATGCACCGGGCGATGTCGGGGCAACCATGGACGCCAACAGCAATATGGCTCCTACACCAACGATGCCGCCGCACCGAGAAGATGGGTCCAGACATCATCAAGGAAGGTTCTGCATCTACACCAACGACACATGCCATTTGGCACTGGTCGGCATTGGCGAGCACGCCATGTGGTCATCATGAAATAAATTATAGCTTTAAAACTATATAGAAATGATAAAACATAAATAGATATGTAACATCCCAGTCATTTCTTTCCATTAATGTTTGAAAGCTTTTTTTTTTCCATGGTAACGCACGGCATTTTTACTGGTCCTAATAATAAAGAGGTAAAATTTCCACCTCTTTTTTTCCTATTATTTTAGTCTGGCCTTCCCTAACTACCTATGCGGATGGTGGTTTGACAATGAATTTGAGAGGAAATGGATCGATTTCAGCAGCCAATGATTTTTTTTTCCCAAATCGAACCCACCACGGACAGATCATAGACCCAAAAACCTGAGCCATTGTTTGGAAACATGAGACCAAGAGTCCAAGACAGAAACGGATAGGAGTTGAAGCGATTAGACCAAGACAAACGAACACATGAAGAAAGAATAGAGAGATACAACACAGGGGGAACCAGATCTTCTAACTTCACCCTCGATGACAGCATAGAGCTGCCGATCCCGCGCATCAGGACCGTCGAGGCTCTTCACCCTGGATCGGACGATAGCTCTCCAATTCCTGCAAAAGTGACATGGGTCTGCACAAAAGCAAGGCCCATCGTAGCCACGGGTCCTGCCGAGGGCCTCGCGCTCGTCTCCCCGCTCTCATGCCGATTCGCCCGGCCACCCAGGCGATCCGCCTCCGCTCGGCTGGCTGGCCATCCCCGGCTGGCCTGCCTCTTCCTCTGCCGTCGCCGTCTGGCTGGCGGCTGGCAACGTTCCACCTCGCCCCACGCCCTGCACACACCTTATACCGGTCACGGAGCTTGAGTTTGGCTAAGTCGTCCGGAGGGCGATGGCTCACATCACAGGAGCTTTTTCAATTGGCTGTTCCCGGGCTGATTGTTGCAAATTCGGGCGAGATGCACACAATGTTCGGTGTTCTCTGTCATCCAAGTAGGGTGTATATGACCTTATTGCTTTGGTCATATGAACTTTACAATTCTCTCTCCCTTTCTGGAGGCGGGCTGTTGGCATTCATACAAATTTACAAAAGATATTCGTAACGCACCAAATATCCATGCTACTAACATTCAACAATAACATTGATTGCCCCCTGCCTCAAAATAAAAGGTTCGTAAAAACAATGTATGGTTCAGGTGAAAGCAGTTATATCACTTTGAAATATTACAGGCTAATACTTTGAAACACAATTTGTACATCTAGTCATTCATTTTGATAATTCATCTGGTCACATTCTCACATGTTTAGTCCACAATATCTCTTTACAATCTCACAATCCTATGTAACCACTCGCTAGTGAACTGCCAACAATCAATCACTCTGCTATTTATTCTCAATGACCATTCGAACATCCCAAATAGCATGGGACACACTCACGAACATTTGACAAACTGAAACGCAAGGGCGTCAAGAATATCCATGGCGCATCCATGCAAGAAACCCGTTCATGCTCGCATAAGCAAGCCTAGCTCGTGTAGGCATGATCTACTTGCCATTGTGAGCCCACGGCTCTCTGCTTTCGCTAACCGCCGCACACACAGAGCAGACCAAGTCGAGCATTCAAAGGCGAAAGCATGGTGCGGCACACATATTACTTATTACAATAATAGAACAAATGGCGGCGCAAAGAACGGCGTGAGCAGCAGTAACTAGTAGCCGGCGCCTAGGTTCTCGTCGAGGAACTTGCGGATCTTTTCGGCTGCAACTCGACGAGCTGTCGACAGCATGGGCTGTAGTTGGGCGGACCGGACTGGAGGCTGGAAAATCTGTTCTCCCTCTGGCTATAGATATAGTAACTAGTCCATTTTAATGAATTCAGTACAAAAACGCACCCGTAAGTGCTAGCAAGATGCGCGGACGTCCGATTGTGAAGGAACGACGATCCTTCATCGACTGCACCCGGCAGTCATCCAAGTCGAAGTTAGAGGATCTTGTTCCACACAGGGAGCTGCCGGGAAGCCCACGCGGTTCCCTAGGACGGCGGCGGCGAGGCTCTTCACCCTGCAGCGGGACGCGAGCTCTCCGTGCGGGAACACGCTCGTCGGCCTGGCTCTCCTCTTCCCCGTCTCCGGTTATCTCCGGCGGCCAGCGCGGCGGATCCCGCCTCCCCGAGTCCGGATGCACGACCTCCACCACCGGAACCGCCTGGCGCTCCTCTCCCCGTCTCCGGCTACCTCCGGCGGCCGGCGATGCGGACCCGGCCACCCAGGCCTGGATCCGCGAGCCTGGGCCTGGCTCCGCTGGCCCCGGCTGGCTGGCCATGTCCGCTGCCTGCGCGGCGAGGTGGCGGCCGGCGCACCATCCCGGCGCGGTGCCTCTTCCTCTGTGCCCGGCTCTGCCAGTCTCTAGCGAATGGGGAGTACGGACCTCCGCTTGGGAACCAGTGGCGTCGCGCCAAGTCGTCCCGGAGGGCGAGCGCAGCTCCTTAGGCCACCGTCTCGGGCCAGATCTGGGAATGGCCCTACTGCAGAGTGGGGTGGGGCACACAGTTCGACCGTGGGCGAGCCGGCGGTGTGGCAGCGTGCCCGTGTTTCCTCTTCGTGTTCGTCTGCAGGGGCCAGCAGCGGCGTCGTGCGCGCAGTTTGGCCGCAGGCTTGCCGGCGGCGGGGCTACGTGCCATAGGTGTCCTCCCCTTTGTGTCGCTCTCTGGCTGTTCCCGGGCTGTTGGGAGCCTTCGCTGCCTATTACGGGGAGGACAGAGCGTCGTCTGGACAGCGCGTCGACGTCGGTCTTGAGCAAGCTTCGGGTTCCCCCTGTGCTGCCCTCCTCGGTCGGTCCTAGCCATGGGGGCCGGGTCTGCCTCAATGGGGAGGACGGAGATCCGCTCGGGGGGGCCAACCTTGCTCGATGGCGCAGGTGACTGCTGTTATGATGGATTCTAGACTAAAGTCTTGCTCGGCTTGTTGCTGGTGCCGACGACGATGGCGCCCGTTGTGCGTCATATTCCTTCTTGGAGGCGTCGTCGAGTCTCCATCTGCCATCTCGCTAAGTTTGATCTCCAGGTGAAAACTCAATCCGGTGATCCTGGACAAGCAATGGTGGCATCTTTTGATGTCACTATCTTCATGGAGGCATTGCTTGGGAGATCATTTGCACTCCCCACCACGCCGACGACCCAGCCATCCCCCTATCTATTGATTTTGCACAAGTTCTAACCCGCAAACTATGCCGCCTATGTCCTAGCTTTGCCATTCTCAATGATGCTTGATTGCCTTGTCTCATCAAATGTCGGTAACGAGACCATGATCCCCTCTCTCGGATCTCCTCGCACCCCTTTTACCAGCCCTCCCTCCATTGTGGTTTCCTCCCCTCAATGGGCGTTGGCGGGCGTCAACTGGGTCCTGGATGTGCTTCAAGACATTGTAATCACGACTGTCGTCTGTCATTTTGACCCAAAGCTTCATAGTCGTCGTTGGAGTGGAGGTCGCCGAAGTTCGGCCATTGGTGGTGTTGGTGAACAACTCATGCTTATCATGGGAGTCCTTTGTTCCCTTTTCTGTGTTTTGTGGTTGTCCTCCGTTCTGTCGCGTGTGTTATTGGTGATGTTGTGTTGTAAGTGTGCGATCTCTGTTGTATCCTTTTGAGCGGTAATTTATATTACCACTCCATTGCAATATATTCAGGTGGGGAATTCTCCCCCCCCCCCCCCCTCCCACCCCGTGACCCATAAAAAAAACACAGATCCAGTAAAACCCAATCCCTGCCTCGTAGTCGCATGCGGCAGAGGCCATAAAATTGCTAGATTGATTTCTTTTTTCTCTTCTACATTCTAATAGATCATATCTAATCTCTATTCTCTACCTATATATATAGTAACTAGTCCATCACGGGATAGAATCTAAGAAAACATACTTAATGCATTTAACTCATATTAAATTGTACCTTTTCACTGTTCATTTCCTAACACAAACCCGTGCACTTGCACAGGCTAACTATATGTAAATCTTAATTTTTTTGTAAAGACAATAGATTCCTTACTTAATAGATCATGAACAAATAAAGTTTCCACTAAAATTGGGGTATAGACCATTTAGAATGTTGTGGCAACATATGGAAACTATATAAAATAAGCCCCCCAATTAGTAAAACCTTATTCTCCCTCTAGCTCTAGAATAGGTTAAGTACATTTTTTAATTAAGAAAAAGAGATAAGTACACACATGTACATTTGCTCCCATAGAGTGCCCTCTAGCTCTAGAATATCTTTTGAATAATGAAAAATGTATCATAATCATAAGAAAGACATGCAAAAATTAGCATTCTATAAACCATACAAATCAGGACATATATAGATCTAAATGGAAATCGAAACTGCTGACTCAGATTTCGATGAATTTGCTCAAGCATGAACGTCCAAAAGCAGTACAAACATTATTAACCATACTTGAGTTGACCCGTTTCTTGTTGTAGTAGTAGAAGCGTGCTCACACTTCATGGATATAAAACACCCAAGAAAGCGAGCATCCAAATTTTTGTAACTTGGACTACAATATAAGAGCATCTCCCACTACTATAGAAAACGTCTGTAGCAACGAACAATTTTTTTTATAGGAGCGGCTGGTGATGGGGTCGCCTCTACAATTGGCGTGCTCGGGACCCACGAGACCAGGGGCGGCTCAATCACCAGTCGCCCCTACAAATATTATCGTATTTTTTTAAATATTAGTTCTGCATATTTTTTTTATAAATGTATATATAAATGTATTAAAAACAATTTGCTATATTTTTTCGTTCACATAAAAATAACTTGCTGATATATATATAATGATACATTTTATTTTATTTTAAATAAAAAAAATTATATTTAAAAATTTGAAATTTAAATTTGTGAACTTCGAATTGAATTTTAAGACAGAAAATGACCTAAAATGAAAATGTTGTAAACATCAAAGTTGTAAAACTCATCAAGATTTACAACTTTTATTTTGGTCATCTTTTCATGTGACTTAGTTTGAAAAGTTCAAATTTTGAATTTTATAAAATGGCAACTTCAAACAACATTTCCAAAGAGTAAATGATTTCAGCTAGAAAAGTCATGAATATAAAAGTTGTAGAACTCATCAAGATATAAAACTTTTATTTTGGTCATTTGTTAATCCAACAAAGTAATAAGAATATTGTTCACAAATTTTACATATCTCTCATATGGTTTCATAAACTATACGAGAGATATGTAAGTTTTGTGAACAATGTTACTATCATTTTGTCGGATGAAAAAAATGACCAAATAAAAGTTGTAGGTCTTGATGAGTTCTACAACTTTTATGTTCATGACTTTTTGAGTTCAAATCATTTGGTGTCTCAAAATTTTGTTTGAATGTATCATTTATTTAAATTCAAAATTTGAATTGTTCAAATTTAGTCACATGAAAATATGACCAGAACAAAAGTTATAGGGATTGATGAGTTCTATAACTTTTATGTTCATGACTTTTTCATTTGAAACCATATGCTCCTTCAATATGTTGTTCCAAGAGTCTTTCTAAAATTTACTCTCTAAATCATTATTTGAAGATCTTGGGTAAAACTTGTTTTTACCCTTCAACAGCTTTTGTACATCATGTGTAAAACTTGTGTGCACTCTAGAGAGTCATCCTCTTTCTCCATCTTTGGCTAGCGATGAATCTAGAATAGAGAATGTCTATATTTAGAGATCTGTTGGAGGCAAATTTTGACACCAAAATCTCCATTCCTATAAATTAGAAAAAATATAAAGAGTCTCCTCGAGTTGCTCTAAGACCAAATATTTGGATCGGTCATGTGCATGCAGTAGTATTCGACTTGTTTTGATATTTTTTCCTTATTAAACGATAATTTTCAAACAAATTGTTACTATTTCTTTTTTAAAAAATATCTATTGTCCCATGTCAAAACATATACCTTCATAATCTCATAAAATAACACAATAACGACCACATGTTCTGTGAAATTTCATAAAGTGGTTTAACTAATTCATGTTGTTCTAAATTTAAGCGAAAAATAAAATAGGATGATTAGATCTCCTCACATCCAAGAGCCCTTCTAAATTTAACAGAAATTCTCCATTAAATATTTCCTTTCTCCAAGATTCCCCAATGTCAAATAACATATAGGATGCACAATATGTCATTGTCACGCCCAAATTGAACGGACATATATAAAAAGGAAGATTTAGCATATCACTAAATATAGTATGTTGATGGAGAAACCGTTGGATGGTGATTTTTATTACAAATACACGTTAAGGCTTTAAGAGGTTGACATGTTCTGCCTGCCTTCTTTGTTCTAGGACTGTGCTGGACTATTTTTTGGCGACGGATCAGTGAAGCACTTTTTCCCTAGGTTGTTTAACTTCTAAATGATTGTATTTACTTACAAATAACTCAAACGTACGGCCTTTTTCTTTTCTCACAAAAAGTTAAAAATTGAATACTTTAATTACATTGTTTATGTAGAGATACGTGGATGCATTACCTTGATTACTGGGACCTCGTACACTCATTACAGGCATCGAATATTGCCTGTAATAGGAAAAATAAGCATAAGACAGAAACAGAACATGTTATTATTTATACAAAAAAAACTATTTTACAGACATAGGAAGGGCACCAAAAAAATTGCCATGGTCTGGATGATTTTTCTCAGTCAAACCAACCTTGCAATTTGCACGATTGCCCATTGTTGCATGGTGCATCTTGCCCATCTTGGAGGTTGACGTCAGATCGATGCGATGCATAGTGATGCAACCTTCAGATCGCATCTGAGTTTCCATAGTACAAAGCAACAGAGCAGAATGAAATCCGCAACACCTGAATCACAAACTGTGCCAAGGCACTCCTGTGGCTTGGTAGGGAAAGGCAGGTTCATGTGCTTGTAGCTCGTGAATCCGCCGTCAACCACAAGGTTGTGCCCAGACACGTACTTGGCGTCTTGGCGTCGTCGGAGGCCAGGTACACGGCGGCCCTGGCAATGTCCACCACCTCGCAGGTGGCACCCTTGAGCCCAAGCCCCCTGATGATGGCCGCCACCTGCGCCTCGTCGGCGGCTCCGCCCAGCATCGCCGAGAACTGGTCCACCACCATCGGCGTGGGCACTGCGTACGGCGAGATGCAGTTGACGCGGACGCCGCGGCGGCCCTGACGATCCCGGCGATGGCGAACTTGGAAACCGAGTCCGAGTACGGGTACGTCCCCAGCCCACCGACGATGCCGCTGATGCTCGCCATGCAGAGGATTGAACCCTCCGCCGGCGGCAACGCCCGCGGGCGGCGTAGCCAGCATGACGCGCACGGCGTGCTTGATCCCCGCCAGCGTCCCGCGCACGTTCACGGACATGACGACGTCGAACTGCACGAAGTCCAGGCTTGCGATCTGCGACGTGCCGGGGGACAGCGGGCCCACGACGCCGGCGCTGTTGAGCATGACGTCCAGCCGGCCCGCAGCGACGCTGTC